TGCCAGTAAAAATTGGTCCAGTCCAATGACACTTATTCACCACGCATTTTTACTATATAAAAGAGCTCCTCTCTAAGCCTCTGTTTCTTCATGCGGCTATTATGAGAAACGTTCTTTTTCAACCTAATAGCTCAATTTTAATGTGAGGTATTAACACAAAAATAAAGCTCCCCCTCCAACAAGAAACAAAACAAAACACCCTGCTCCTTTTGTCGTTAACCTGCCTCAGCTCCTATACTTAACCACCCATCAGATCACAGAGGTGCACTAGTGCAACGTCCTTCCCCCACCCCCAATATAAACTTCCCTCTCCCCATGACCACCACTCTTTCCTCTCCAGACACGGGATTGGTCAGTCTCAGGCCATATCATCAAAATCTCTAGAACCACTGACATTTAGCATTTTAAGATTTACAAAGTACTTTTTCCTGGGACTATTTTATTTGAGCCTCACAAGCCTATGAAGGGACAATGACAGGCATTATCTCCATTGTACAGATGAGGAAATAAATTCAGACAAAGTGACTTGTCCTTTTTCACAGTGTCAATTGACCAATTCAAACCCAGTTCTTTCTGACTCAAAATTTAAAGTGCTTACCAAGGCACGACCAGTTCAGAAGGGACATGTCCCTCTCAGAACTTGTATGCAAAGCTTACCATATGCAAAACGAAGAGGTTGGACTAGCTGAAGGGTGACTAGGTGGTGTAATGGATAGAGCACCACACCTAGAGTCAGGAAGTTTTGGTTGTTGAGTTGTGACCTACTCTTTTTGACCCCAGCTGGAATTTTCTTGGCAAAGATACTGAAGTGGTTTGCCATTTGCTTCTCCAGCTCATCTTACAGATGAGAAACTGAGGCAAACAGTGTTTAGTAATTTGCCCAGGGTCACACAGGAAGTGTCTGAGACCAGATTTGAACTCGGGAAGATGAATCTTCCAGACTTCAGGGCTGCCACTGCCACCTAGCTGCCCCTCAGGAAGAGCCGAGTTCAAATGTGACCTCAGATACTACTAGCAGGTCACTTAACCCATTTGCAGCAGTTTCCTCATCCGGAAAATGGAGATTATAATAGCACCTACCTCCCAGGGTTGTTATGAGGATGAAATAATTGTGAAGTGCTTAGTTCAGAGCTAGGTGGGGCAGAGACTTTAGAAATCATGTGGTCTAGCCCTTCATGTTACAGATAAGAATACTGGACCCCACTGAGGGAAGGGAATTTCCCCAAAGCCTGGTCCTCTGATTGCAAACTAATGGCTCTTTCCACTACCTTATATTGACTCCTCTTTCTGTCATGCCATGCTGAGGAGAAAGGGATTCAAAAATAGATTATTAGTCCTTTTCCCCCTCACGTAGCTGGGGCTAGGGAGGAGGTGTGGTATAGTGGGGAACAACTCTATGTAACAATTAGCTCCTCTCATCCAAGAGTCAAAGCTAGACTATAAAGGGGTGGAACTTAGAAAAGATTAGTCCTCCCAGTCATCCAGTAGTGGTCACCATGGAAACCACTTCCCAGTTGCCTGGTAACTATAGAGCCCAGCTGCATTAGCATCCATTTCCAGAGCAATGAGGGAAGGAGGTAGGGCTCACTGGGATCAGGTGAGGGAGGAGGGCTCTTGGGCAGAGATCAAAGATTTAAAAGACTGTAATTAGTCAGGTAATTTTTTCTACTTTCCCTCCCCCCACCTCCCCCAATTGAATAACAGAACTCTTAGCTGCTACTGAAAAATAGCACTGTATTTAGGGTAAGAGATCTGGTCTGGTCTGTTATTTTTGTTGCATGGCCTTAGGTAGGTCACTTTACCTTTTTTTTGTTGGGGGAGGGGGGGGAGGCTCAGTTTCCCAATCTGTGAAATTATATTTTTCAGCTCTAAATTCTACCACTTTATAGATATTTCTAGTTGTCCCTTCCACCCAGAAATCCACACATATCCAGAACTGACCGCTTCCAAATTTTTGTACTTCTATGTCTCCCAGGTAGAAAACTTACAGTTTCTTCCTTCTCTTCATTGGGGGCAGTGTGGTGTAACGAAAAGAATAGTGGACATCAGGAGTCAGGACTGCATTGAGGCCCATCTCTGATGCCTGACATCTGATGATGTCTGGTGAAACCTATGGATCCTTCCTTTCTCAGAATTAATTGTTCTTAAATGCATGAATATTCTCATAATTTTCTTAAATGCCTAAAAATACATAAGAAACTAATTACGCTGAAAGGTACCAAAATATCTTATAAAAACATTTATAGACTAATTTGAATATCCCTGCTCTAGTCCAATTAGACGGTTTCACAGATTAAGGATCTGACCCAGAGCAAGGTCACACAAACAGTCATGCCAGACGTAGGTTTTTGTGGTGCTAAATACAAACGCAGTCCTCTTTCTAGTTGATCAGCCCACCTCCAGTCTTCCTTCTCCCAATCCATTCCAGATTTGCCCCTGTAACATTCCTACAACACAGCCACTGAAATTCATGTTTGCCATCAGGTGAAGGCCTTAACTTTCCCTGGCGTTCGAGATCTTTCATGTGTTTGGACCACCTTTCCAACCTTATCCTACTCTGCAAATTAAAACATGCAGGGATGAGCAATTATACAGGAGAACATCAATATTCAGTCTCCAAAGGAGGCCAGAATTAAGATCAATGGGTAGTTTTGTGTGTGAGAAAGGGAGGAGGCTCCGAGAAGGGCGAGCAGGTGCTCATTGTAGCCAATGTAACAATTAAAGTTAGAAAACAGACTGGCCTTCCTTTGAGACTTTCTTTGTCACAGGGAATCTGGTTTTCAATAGATAACCACTTGTCTGGGACATTGTAAAGATGACTGCTGCTTCCAAGTTTAAGGTTGGAGTAAGAGGCCTCAGGTCTCTCTTAACGGAGAACCTGATTCATATTCTTGCTATTAGTCCTACAGAATAAATCATTGGCCCCTAAGTGGAACGCCCTTCCTTCTCCAAAGCTCAGTCCCAGTGCCACACAAGTAACCACCCAAGACAAAATCCCAGCCCTGGGTGATACCTCTTCCATCTCTTTAATAGCTATATACCCCTCACCTGACACATGCCTTTGACAGTCCAACCTTAAGCACCATAAGGATAAAGACCATGGTTTATTCCTTTGAGTTTTATTTGGTGCCTGGTTTAGTGTTAGTTTAAAAGATCTGGTGCCCAACTAGTTGAAGGTGAGAACAAGACATCCAGATGCAGCATTCACTTGAAGTTCAAAGTGTTTAGACCAGAACTAGAGATTTAGGAGTCACTTGCATGTTTTCATGAGTAAGATACCAAGCCATAGGACTGAGTACATATACATACATGTGTTTTAAGGTTAGAGTTAATGCAATGGGAGATGCTTATAACCAGAAAGGAATAGTCAAGCAAGGACAGAAAAGACAAAACCACCATGCCCAAAAACCCAACTCAAGTCCCAGGTCCTTCACAATGTTTCTATCTTCTTTGAATTCACCCTAGTCAGTAAGCAGTGGACTTCGGAGCCAGTACAAGTCTCAGCTTTTCCATTCCCTAGCTGTGAGCTTGTGCAAATAACTGGTGAGCAGTAGTTTGCAAATCTTTAACCATGTTGTCACGTGGCACAAAAATAGTTTTACAATAAAGGGCCATTTAAACACATACTATTACAAGTCAGGTTTTTTGCATTCAGCTCAACTTGTTTCCTGAAGGGAAGTAGCTTCACTCACTCCCGCCCCACCCAACCAGACCTAAACACAAAATGCAAATTTTTTTCACTTATCTTGCTAATAGGTCAGGAATTGACTCCCATGTTTAAGTTGCCTCAGGGTACCTATGCAGGAAGGTAGGCTAGACTAATTATAGGGAAAGCTTCCATACTGTGGCAAGTATTCTTTAAAACCTTTTTAAAAAAACTAAAAATAGTAACCTAAAATTCTTTGACAGTCAGGGAGCCTTCCCTGGGGAAAGAGAATAAAAGTAATAATTGGGCAATGGACTCATGAAAATGCAGCCCCCTCTTTGTCTATCTCCTGAACTATAAGCCACCCTTCTCCATTGAGAAGGGATTCAAGGAATTCCCTTTGTGTACTCCAGCTGAACACTTGGAGTGGTCCAGGAAAGAACTGAGTATTGACCACCTAGGAATGTTAGTTTTAAATTCTATTTTAACATTTACAGCCTTTTTCTTGAGATGCCCATCTTTCACAGTTTTGAGATAGTCCTATCCAAGGGCATGGAGGTGAGATAGGTGAAGTATCCCAAACTGGACACATCTCTCCAAGCAAGAAACACTTGAGTAGATTAAGCCAAAGAATTATTTCTGGTACATGTCTGGCTAAAACGTCTTCATTAGCACAGTACTAATATTTATTCTTTGACAAGACCAGGAAATGTAAAGACGGCCCAATTCACAGGGTCTCAGATCTACAAGGGACCTCAGGTTTCCTAATTCGATTTCCTCACTTTACAGATGAAAAGAAGCCATTATTTTGGGCCGTTATCTCATCTTCTATGTGCTTGCCCCGTGTGGGGAGTTTTCCTCCATGCAGGAGCCTGACCTTAGGAGAATCTTAGTCCGACCCTCTACTCCCCGCAGTCTCTATTGTGGGTCTGGGCACACACAATGAAGTGCCCCACAGGAGGCTGAGGGTAAGAAGCTACTACTTAGTGCACTGTATGGAAGGGGAGAGAAGAAACATTTATTAAGTGTGCCTACTATGTGCGAAGGACAATACTAAGTGCTTCACAAATACCTCATTTGATCCTCACAAACAACCTTGAGAGGTAGGGCTATTATCCCTATTTTACAGATGAACAAACTGAGGCAGCGGTTAATGATCTGTGCCCATGGTCCCACAGCTAGGAGTGTCTGAGGCTTCCTGACTCCAGGCCCAGTGCACTCTACCTACTTCATCACCTAGCTGCATCTCTGCCTTTTCAGCTGCACAGAAGATGTCAGTGGGGTAACAACCCAAATTAAAGATCGTGTAACGGCAGCCTTCCTTCCTCAAACCCCTCCAACTCATGGTCCCAGATTGACAGCTCAGAGGGAAACCTTTATTGGGGGAATGAAAATTAGTCCTCCCTGCCCCCCCACAGGACTGGGTTATCCAATATCCCCAATTCAGTAGCAGCAGGAGTCAGGTCATCGAGGAGAAAGACTCCCAACACAACCAGCATCTAGTGCCCAGGCATGAGCTTGTCAGGCAGAGGTCTCTGGGAGTAAGCCTGGGCTGCCTGGGAGAAATGGATCCACAAGTCTTCCCTTCCACACAAACTGTTCCATCGCAGGGCTGGAGCTAATATAAGGCTAGAAGAGGGAAGGTCACTTGGCCAGGTCCTCTGCCACAGCCTTCCCCATCTTGTCCTTGAGGTAGGCACCCTTCTGCCAATCAGACTTCAGCTCCAGCCACTCGAAGTATGGAACCTAAGGAGGTCAAAGAGAGGTCAGGATGGCCCGATGTGGCTGAGGGAAGAGCAGGTACCTCCTCTCCACAAGCCCCACCAAGGGAAGAATTTGTGTTGTATGTAAAGTGACAGCATGATGATGCTAGGTCTTTTTAGTCAATATTAGCACTTCAAGACTCCCCTGTCCAATCTAAAGATGACCCTGTGCTCCAGGTAGAGGAAACATTCAAGTGAAAGCTGGGGAACAGAATCAGACTGTCAAAGGCAAGGGTTCTGAGAAGCCCAACGTCCTCCTTTTGGAAAGCCCGCTGGGCCTTTCCACTTTTCCTTTTGCTCATTTGAACCCTTTTTTCTCATTCGTTCTTTCTTTGGCTTCAGAGGATGAAGTGGTTTTCCTTTCCAAGGTTAACTACTTGATTTGTGCTCTTACTTTGAGATTCTTCCCCTTTCTTGGCCTTAGCAATTACCCTCCCACACACCTTTCACACCACCCTCTCCATAGAGGTCTACAAACACACTCAGGCATCCCTTTTCCTAAAAATATGCAAACAAACCAAAAAACCTTCCCTTGATCAAATGATCAGTCATTTAGATCAAAGCCGTCCAGGACTCTATACCGAGATACTGATCAGTACAAGTCCGGTATCTCCATTGACTCCCAAATTTCTAGGGAAAAGTAGCCTCTATTACCAGCTACAGTAGCTAGGTGGTGAAGTGGATAGAGTGCCAGGCCTGAAGTCAGGAAGAACTAAGTTCAAATCTGGCTTCAGACGCTTACTAGCTTTGTGACCCTAGCCAATCACTTAACCCTGTTTGCCCGAGTTTCTTCATCTGTAAAATGAGCTTAAGAAGGAAATGGAAAATCACTGCAGTATCTCTGCCAAAAAAACCCTAAATGGGGTCATGGAGAGTCAGACATAACTGAAAATGACTTAACAAAAAAAATCACCAGCTACCTCCACTTCCTCTCCGCTATTCAATTTTCCTCAAATGTCACCTACAGCATGTTTTATTGCAAAGTTCAAGGTGTGTGTGCTTATCTTCCTCGATGCTCAATGTTTGATTCCGCAGACTACCTCCTCCCTTCCTTGTCTTCTAAGACACTCTTGGCACCCAGAAAAGTCACTGACCAAGGCCCTCTGTCCTTGGCAGCCTTTTCTCTTTTCTTGTTAATCTCACTGACTCCAATGGCTTCATTCACGACATCTGTGCTGGTGACTTACAACAAATCTATTACCTCTAGCCCCAAACTCTTCCCAGAACTCTAGTCCTATATATTGACATCCATACCTACACACACCACTATGACCTCAAACTCAACATATGCAACACTAAACTCATCCTCTCTCCAAAACTGCTTGCTCCTAAATTCTTCCTATTTATGGTTCCATCACTCTCCAAGTCACTGAGACTTAAAACCACAATCATCTTGGACTTTCTTGTCGAATCCCCACATCAGCCCATTCAAGCCTGGTGGTGAGTCTCACTGAATCCATTTCTGAAACACCTCTTGAAATCTGCCCCCTCCCTCTTCACTCTCAGCACCCTCAAGGGTCTTGAGCAACAGCAATCAGTTGGGTCTCCTAACTGGCTTCCCTGCCTCTAGTCTCTTTTTTTCCCCTTACCACTGCCCAAGTAATCTTCCTAATGTGAAGCTCTGAACCAACACTTTCCTGTTTAAAAAGTATCAAGGGTCTGTCAATATTTTCAGACCATAGTCAAATTCTGGTGCCAAAGTAATTACAGCCAGGTGAAGGAACATCTGTAAGGTGGTTAGAGTTCCATGTGTGAACCCCAGCACATTAATGAACATATAGCGCAGCCTTTAGTGGACTCAAATGAGTATTCAAACCCCACCTTCCCTTAGGATCCACAGGAGGATCTAGGGAAAAGAACAGCTGAGCTTTAGTCAAGGGCATCTGATAATGCTACTCACTAATGCTTCCCTCCCATAACTAACTGTTGGTATTCTTCAAGCGCCAACCTTATCCTTCTATGAGACTTCCTCTGATTCCCCTAAGCTAGAGGAAATCTCTTCTACTTTAATTTTTCATAGGACCTTGTATGGATCTCACAACATAAATGAGAACTGAAGCTGTTTTTCTCCCCAACTACTAGCTGATGCCTAGTCCCACATTTGTTCTTTTTGATTACAGTGGACTAAGTGAAGGCCCCTGCAGGTCAGGGTAGAGTGAATGACAGTTCCGTACGATGTACTTGTATCTACAAAAACAACACTACTGAAAGAGTAAGGTAGGTGAAACAGTCAGCTGATAAAAGCAGAGCTGAATGGGACAAACATAAAGAAAGTGGAAAATGGCTGGAGAGGAGGAATGCCCTAACCTAGCCCAGCCCAGTGTCTGCAGCAAGATTTTATCCCCCAGCCCCAGGAAGAGGGACTTGGGGCCCATGAGCTGCAGTATTACTGTGGCAGCTGTTTGGGCCAGCTCCTGCCATGAAAGGGGGCAGGTGCTGAATTTGACACAGCTGAAAGGTTAAAAACAGCCAAGTTCAAGGCATGTGTACACAGATGGAACTCTCCCATCCCTTTGGTCCTCCTCTGCCAGCCCATGGAGATGCAGGAAACATGGAGGCTAGGGCTCTGAATGACCACACCCACACTTGGTACTCACATCCACCACCAGGAAGCCTGCAGCCCGAAGGTGGCGCCTGGCCATAACAAAACGACCCAGCAGATCCTTGCTGCGGCTGTTGAAATTTGGGAACTCCCAACGCAGAAAAACTAACCTAGAGAACAGGCAAGGGCAGGAAGCTGGGCATTACTCCACGGAAAGAGATTCATTCATCTTTCTTTTTCAAAAACAAAGGAATGGAAAGATCAAAAGGAAAAACAGAAGAAAGGTCCAGAAGGAAGAAGATAGAGAACTTGCTATGCAGGGAGGTAGGCTGGACTAATCACAGGGAAAGCTTCCATACTGTGGCAAGTATTGCCACATGTTGTATACCAAGGCCAACTCCTGCCCTCCAATGTAGGCATGACCCACCCCCCATGTTGGACAGGGTTTGGAACAACAAGCACATTACCTCTTGGCACCAGGGGGCAAAGGCTGAGTCCCAGTTGGCTGAGCCAGGTGAGGTGCCAAAAAGTTCTTTACGGGTAGAGGCTGATTGTCCGTGTCAAGTACCAATTCAGCATCTAGATAATGGGAAAGCAGGAGAGATGAGGAAGGGAATATAAGGGTTAACGAGCAATGGAGAGTCAATGAATTGGAACTTCAACTGAGATAAAAATCCAGAGGAAGGCTGTCCTGAATAGACTCAGGAGCACTGAAGATGGCAGCCAGGATAGGCCTGTGCCCTAGTGATTCGACCACACTACACGTTCATTAACTAGAGGCAGGTTAACTGATGGAGGCAGAGCTGTACAGGGAAAGCAAATATAAACAGAGGAAAACGCCTGGAGAATAGTAATACCCTTGGCCCAGCCCAGTGTCTGCAGCAAGACTTTATCCCCAAGCCCCAGGGAGAGGGACTTGGGGCCCATGAGCTGCAGTATTACTGTGGCAGCTGTTTGGACCAGCCCCTGCCATGAAAGGGGGCAGGTGCTGAATTTGACACAGCTGCAGAACTGGGCCCTCTGGGGAGGTTTAGATTTGAGGTGGTAAAAACAGAGGAAGCGTATTTGTGGAACCAACACCATCAGCCCAGGTACAGGGTGGGGAGGATGCGCAGGCTCACCCAGCTCCCAGCCATACTGAGTGGTCTCTCCAAAACGGGCCTTGTCATCGCTCCCCAGCCACCCTTTCAATATGTCCTGCAGATCTTTCTGCATGGGTGTCATCTTCCTGGATGTGGGGGGTTTGGGGTGGAGGGCGGCTGCTGGCAGGAACGGTCCAGTGTACTCAGGATGTTCCAGTCGAGCAGTAGCATTGATGTGGATCAGCTTCTGGCAGGTGTTTTGGTTCTGAGGGAACTTGCCGTCTGCAAACAGAACAGAGCCATGTTCTAGGGAAGGACAGGACTGGAAATGCTCAGAAACTAGAGTGTCAGTCAGAAGGAAGCCAACTTTGGAGGAAGAGCAGGACTGAAAGCCTGGAGCCTATCTTGTACCTGGGCCATGTGAAGACAGACACACAGCCCAGGAGCAATCCCACCACTGTGGGAACCACGTAGGTAATTCTCCACTGAAAGGATGAGGTATCTGTCAGGGCTGAATCTGACCCTGCCCCATGGAAGTTCAAGAAGGAGAATGCAAAGAGACAGAGCTGATGCCAGGTTCTGTTTTCCCCAACCCTTCAACCCCTCACCTAGAAACTGGCTGTGAAAGTCCTGATGGAGAACCTCTTGAAGCTGAGCCTTCTGTACTTGCTGGAGTATACACAGGGACCATACCACATCAACATGCAGGGTGGGGTTCCACTTGGCCAATTCTGGCTCCAGTTTCTTGTGTACCTGGGGAAGGTAACTGGTGTGAGGCTCCTGCTCTCAGCAGCTAGGCATCCCAGGGCAGAACACTCGCTGATATGACCAATGACTTAGTCACACAACCCAAGGATGAAGGCAACCTGCCAAAAACGTGAGACCTATGTCGAATCCCCTGCTATCTTTCTAGGATAACAATTCTTCCTTTCCAAGTCACATTTTAAGGAGCCTCAACCCCAAACCCTAGGTTTTTCCATTTTGCACTCTATTCCAAGTTAAGAGAGCTATAGCACTTGAACACCTATTACTTGCTCCCCCTTTCTTGAGCATGGCTATTTTCTCAGAGTATTTTTTCCCAGTACTCACTTTTCCTCTTCTATTGCCATTTCTACACGTCTGCAAGATTGTATTTTTTAGAGTTTATTTAGGAGGGAAATTAAGACAATGGAAGCCTTTCTTCCTTGGAACTCTTCTCCCACTACCCAACTGCCCCAGACAAGTTAGTTCTTCATTGGTTCCTAGCAGGAAACCACATCCATGCCCATCACCCTGTCCCTGCTTCTAGTGTCCCCTCCAGGAAGGGGAAATGGGGATAGAAAAAACCATACCAAATTGAAGAATTGCTCTTCTTGCTCAGGATGGAAATTCAAGCGAGCAAATGCCAGGATCACGTTGCTCAGCTGGAGCGGGGTGAAGCTGTCCGCTTTGTTCAGCACGTGCTGGGCACCAGAAGAGGGAAGGTAAGATAGAGAGAAGAGCCTACTCATTTGTTTCCTAGCCTAGCTCGAGCCTCTTAGCCCTTACCCTATTATCCAACAACCAATGTACCTGGCAAGACATGCATCTTATCTATTCTCCTGAGGACACAGGTCACTCCCCAAACACTTAAGTCCTATGGCTCTTCCAGAAGTGTCACCTTCCCAGTGGCAGAAGATTACACACATACCACAGTCATTGGACCTTGGGCTCCCAAGCCTTGCAAGGACCTATGTGGATAAGATAGTGGCCTGGGCCTGCGGTTAAAGTTCTCAAGAAAATGAATAAACTAGTAATAATCTGTGGCTACTGGCTTTGTATCTATCTAGGAGATACCTCATATACCTGCAGTGAAGGCCTATGGAGAAATCTTTAAAGGATACTTTCTACTGAGTCTCTAAACCAAGCCTGGCCCATAAATCAATCACCTTCCTTGCAACTTTAAAGTTTCATATAAATGGCAGTCACTTTTATAATCCAAAATGTACCTCCTAGGGTGGTAGGACTCTACTCTATCTGACCTCTGCTTACCTGGGCAAAGGCTTCAAAGAGAGGCAAGTTGAGCCACTTGAGGAAGGCAAAGGACTTGGAGCATTGAGTTATTTCACTGGGCGTCATGCTGGACACCTGGGGCAGCATTTCAGCTGCCAGCTTCTGGAATATCTGGGTTTGGTGGAAGTTTAGTTTTCCTTTAGGACAAAGCAGACTATAGTGAGCTAAATGGCAGGGCCCCTAAGGGAACAGGAGAGGGGGAGCTGCTGAATCCTTAGCAGGATTTAATACAGCCACTTCCTTTATTCACTAGCCCTGCTCAGATGTCCCCAGCCCAGACCTCAGGAACCTTGGCCCTTACCCGCCATCCCCCTCCAACCAGAACTGCTAGTGTCTATAAGAGTCTATCCTGGGTCAAACGGACAGGGACATGTGGGGTCCAAGTGCTACAGTGTTTCTGTAGTAGCCTTATAGGTCAACTGATACCAGAGGGGTAGGGCAGATACCAATGTGACAAGGAGAAAGGAAAAATAAGACGTGACAAGGGAGTTAGCGATAATTCCTTGCCCTCCTCATAGCCACTTCCATTGCCTTACCATAAGCATATGCAAAGTCAATAAGCATTCCTCTTGTCAGGTTAAAAGGTTTCTGAGCCAGGTGGTAGGAGATGGCCCGAAGTAGGGGCACTGACCGCCGGTTCTGAGAAGCCAGGGTCAGCATCACTTTCCGCAAGTCTTCAGGGCCAAACTGCTCTGCCAGCTCCAGGAACTGTCAACCACAGCCACCCAGGGAGGTCAGCTAGCTGGGCAGCTGCCATTCTCTGCTGCACCAAAATGGGGGGAGGAGCTGGAGAGTTGGTCTCAATCCAGCACCTAAAACATTGATCCCGCCTCCTCCCAATCCCAAGGGAAATGCCCCATGAGATGTTCTAATCCCTACAGGACACTTCCTGCACCCAAACTAGTCAGATTCCCGTATGCAAGACCCTTCTGACATGAACCCCCAAGGACAGTGAAAAACTTTCTAAATCTCAGGGACCCCGTGGCAACTTAGGACCTGAAACCCAGACACTTGAGGGGAAGTCTGCTGAGAGAAATTCAGTGTCTGTAGCCAAACTTATCCCCAGGTCCCAGAAAGCAGGACACAGGGCCCATGAGCCACAGTGTTTCTGTGGCAGCCTTTTGGGCCAGCCCTTGCCATGGACACAGGCAGGTGCTGAATTTGACAAGGCTGCAAGGCTTGAGGTTGCAAAGGACAGATCAAGTACAGTGAACTAGGAGTTAAGGAGACCTAAGCCTGAGGCAGCTCAGCACTGCCACCAATTTTCTGTGTAACCTTGGGTGAGCTACTATTTCTTCAAACCTGTTCCCTTATATGTCAGCTAAGGGTAGCTTCTATTCCACCTACCTCATTATTAGTGAGATTATATTAGATACTGAATGGGAAATTGCTTTGGAAAAAATAAAAGCCCTCTAAAAACATGGAAGCTCCTCTCTATCATATTCTGTCAGGCCATAAGCTTCTATCTATCCATTCATCATTCAACTGGTTTTTATTAAGCTCCTTCTGTATGCCAGACTTTATGTTAGGTGCTGTGGATACAAGAACATATTTGTGCTAATGGCAAAATAAAATAAAAAAATAGAAACATGGAAGCTTATGACGAGAAAAAACCCTGGCCAAGAGTTGGCTGACTTTCTGCCAGTGACTCAGGTTCTTAAACCCCATTTTGCCATAGCTGGTAGAAGTACAAACCCAAGTGTGACTCCCAAAAACAGAGAAGAAAATAGATCCACAGATTTATTAGAAGGGACCATTAGTCCAAACCCACCATTTCCCAGAAACCCATGCTTCCTGTACCATAGACTATGTCACCTGGGACCATGTGCTAAAGACATTAAGAGAATAATACTATGGCTTCTGGCATGCCCCTGGAGCATGTAGGGAAGCTCTGAATTGTACCTACTTTCCCTAAATCTTCTATATTAATGAAGGCTGACAAATTCTCTGAGGGAAGGAATTATGTACGTCAGTCCTCATTCCCCAATACCTTGTCCTCTAGACGGTCCATTAGTGCCTCTGAGAGGTGCCCAGCTTTGGTCATGAGGACCACCACGGTGCGGCAGTCGTCGATCTCCGCCCAGCGCCGCTCCAAGTACATCAAGAGTTCCGTCAGGAGCTCCTTCGAGGCTTGCTCCTGCATGTAGGGGATGCTCGTCTCTGCCAGAAAAACCAGGTTCTTATATTTAACTCGGCGAAGCCTCCAGCGAACCTCTTGCTCCACAGATCTCAGGGGCTTGAAATTCTCTGGAAGTTGTAATGTGTAGAGGCTCCGGAGCAAGTTCATAAGGGTTCCATGCCAGACTGAGGATACCTGGGCCAAGGACAGAAGAAAATGACTTTCTAGTCTAAAGTGTAATTAAAAAGCAACTGGAAAGTAAAGTGAAATAGTAAGAAGACCCTATCACTGTATTTCTTGAAATCAAAGACAACTCCTGTCTGGCTCTTAAAGCCCTTCACAAGCTGGTCCTAACTTACCTTTCCAGTTTTATAATACCCATCCCCACCACAACCCCCAATCCTAGAACACACTTTTTAAAGCCCAGCCAAGACGGCCTTCTAGCTGGTCCTCACACATGACACATTCCACCTGCCATCTTGGTGCCTTTGCGTTGGCTATAGGATGCAATCCCTCTTCCTTAGAATCCAAGGCTTTTTCCAAGACTTCTGGAGCATTTAAGTTCTGCATACACAATTCAGCACTCATTATACCAAGGCTTTTCTGGCTATGAAATGTTTCACATCCGTGGCTAGATGGAAAGCTTATTCCATAGCAACAATTGCCAACCTTTCCTATCAATGCGGT